CTCCATGCTGAGCACATGGTCGGGTTCCTGCGTGCTCGGCAGGGGACAGTGCGAAGAGGATGGTGAGCGCCGTGAGCTTTTCATGGCTCCAAGACGGACAACACACAAATACGTGCATCACGATATGTCATGTGTCTGTTGCTTGCTTTGCGGCGCGTCATGTGCCACGGCAGCACGCTCATATTTGCTAGTAGGTGCAAAAGATATGGTTGGACAGGAGGTTTGGGCAAAGAGTGGAATAAGCTTGGATGCCACATCGTGGGCGCGCGCGCGGAAGGCATGTGCACAGAGGGGGCAAAGTCCGTCGAGACCAGCTCCTCGACGGGGCCCTTCCCCTCGCGCTTTGGCTTGTTGTAGTTACGTCGAGAAGTGACCTGTGCCATGTGCCGCTGAACGGGTCGCGAGCGGAGTGATCCGTAGAACAACGAAGCACAAACATGTAATTGGATGCGCGCTTGCTCCATCGCTGTCCACCCCCTTCGGGATGCATGAAGGAGCGCGATTCACCGTCGCTGGCCTGAACAGTCTATAGTTAGGGGGTGTCAGAAACCAAGGCCCCCCCACCCCTTGGGAAACATCTTCGGGGGGGATCAGAAACCAGGGGACCCCCCTGAAAAAACTGAGAGAGACCGGGGGGTCCGGACCCCCCTAGCCCCTCCCCGCCCCCGGGAAAATTTGGACGAGGGGTTCAGGGCCCCCCCCGCCGAACATATTTTCTGGAGGGGGCCAGCATCCCCCCACCTCGCCGCCGCTGCCAGCAGACGACGACGACGTCGCCGCCGCTGGCACGTGGCCCAGACGACGACGATTATGTCGGGCATGACCTCCTACATGCGGTTTTTGAAAGATATATGATTAATTATCAAAACAAACTGTCTTGTCGATAACAAAACCACTTTAAAGCATACTTGAACGCCGCGTAAACTATGGCCGCGTTTATTTCGCTACAAAAGAAACTTCTATCACCAGCTGTACAGGGCCCACCTGGGCCAGAAGCGGAGGGGGTCCGACGGACGGGCAACAAACAGCCCAGGGATAATTACCCTGTGACGTACCCAACCCATTTGTATCATGGGAAACGAGGAATTGGCCGAAACTTGCATCGACCATCAAATTGCAGGATCCGTTGTTTGATATGTAAGCTACTTGGGGCACGCGCCTATGGCATGATGCGCAGGAGAACAATACAAGAACGAGGGGCGACAACTACAGGCTCGAAGAGGACATGGGGAGTCGGGAGCGAAAAGCAAGAGAAAGACGTGCGGGAAGCCCACTGTGCTGGGCCCCCCAGCAGGCCTCGAAAGTGGCGACATTTTCACAGATCGCAGCCCCCCAGGGATGGCGAGGTGTAATTTGAATCCGCGGTGACTACCCACTGTGCTGGGCCCCCCAGCTGGCCTCGAAAGTGGCGATAATTTCACAGATCGCAGCCCCCCAGGGATGGCGAGGTCTAATTTCAATCCGCGGTGGGTACCCACTGTGCTGAGCCCCCCAGCAGGCCTCGAAAGTGGCGACAATTTCACAGATCGCAGCCCCCCAGGGATGGCGAGGTCTAATTTGAATCCGCGGTGAGTGCCCACTGTGCTGTGCCCCTCAGCAGCCCTCGAAAGTGGCGACCGTTTCACAGATCGCAGCCCCCCAGGGATGTCAAGGTCTAATCTGAGTCCGCGGTGTGTAAACACACGGTGCTGGGCTCCCCCAGCAGGCCTTCGAAAGTGGCGATAATTTCACAGATCGCAGCCCCCCAAGGATGGCGAGGTTTAATTTGAATCCGCGGTGTGTACCGACTGTGCTGGGCCCCCCAGCAGGCCTTCGAAAGTGGCGACAGTTTCACAGATCGCAGCCCCCCAGGGACGGCGAGGTCTAATTTGAGTCCGCGGTGTGTACCCACCGTGCTGGGCCCCCCAGCAGGCCTCGAAAGTGGCGACAGTTTCACAGATCGCAGCCCCCCAGGGATGGCGAGGTCTAATTTCAATCCGCGGTGGGTACCCACTGTGCTGGGCCCCCCAGCAGGCCTCGAAAGTGGCGACAGTTTCACAGATCGCAGCCCCCCAGGGATGGCGAGGTCCTAATTTGAGTCTGCGGTGAGTACCCACTGTGCTGGGCCCCTCAGCAGGCCTCGAAAGTGGCGACAGTTTCACAGATCGCAGCCCCCCAGGGATGGCGAGGTCTAATTTGAGTCCGCGGTGAGTACCCACTGTGCTGGCCCCCTAGCAGCCCTCGAAAGTGGCGACAGTTTCACAGATCGCAGCCCCCCAGGGATGGCGAGGTCTATTTGAATCCGCCGTGATTACCCACTGTGCTGGGCCCCCCAGCAGGCCTCGAAAGTGGCGACAGTTTCACAGATCGCAGCCCCCCAGGGATGGCGAGGTCTAATTTGGGTCCGCGCGTGGCGTTACTGTGCTGGGCTCCCCAGCAGGCCTCGAAAGTGGCGACAGTTTCATAGATCGCAGCCCCCCAGGGATGGCGAGGTCTAATTTGGGTCCGCGCGTGGCGTCACTGTGCTGGGCCCCCCAGCGTTCCTCGAAAGTGGCGACAGTTTCACAGTTCGCAGCCCCCTAGGGATGGCGAGGTCTAATTTGGGTCCGCGCGTGGCGTCACTGTGCTGGGCCCCCCAGCAGGCCTCGAAAGTGGCGACAGTTTCACAAGATCGCAGCCCCCCCCAGGGATGGCGAGGTCCCATTTGAATCCGCCGTGGGTACCCACTGTGCTGGGCCCCCGAGCAGGCCTCGAAAGTGGCGACAGTTTCACAAGATCGCAGCCCCCCAGGGATGGCGAGGTCTCATTTGAATCCGCCGTGAGTGCCCACTGTGCTGGGCCCCCCAGCAGCCCTCGAAAGTGGCGACAGTTTCACCGATCGCAGCCCCCCAGGGATGGCAAGGTATAATTTGAATCTGCGGTGGGTACCCACTGTGCTGGGCCCCCCAGCAGGCCTCGAAGTGGCGACAGTTTCACAGATCGCAGCCCCCCAGGGATGGCGAGGTCTAATTTGAATCCGCGGGGCCTACCCACTGTGCTGGGCCCCCCAGCAGGCCTCGAAAGTGGCGACAGTTTCACAGATCGCAGCCCCCCAGGGATGGCGAGGTCCCATTTGACTCCGCCGTGTGTACCCACTGTGCTGGGCCCCCCAGCAGGCCTCGAAAGTGGCGACAGTTTCACAGATCGCAGCCCCCCAGGGATGGCGAGGTCTAATTTGATTCAGCCGTGGGTACCCACTGTGCTGCCCCCCCCCAGCAGGCCTCGAAAGTGGCGATTGTTTCGCAGATAGCAGCCCACCAGGGACGGCGAGGTACAATTTGAATCCGCCGTGTGTACCCACTGTGCTGGGCCCCCCAGCAGGCCTCGAAAGTGGCGACAGTTTCACAGATCGCAGCCCCCCAAGGATGGCGAGGTCCCATTTGAGTCCGCCGTGTGTACCCACTGTGCTGGGCCCCTCAGCAGCCCTCGAAAGTGGCGACAGTTTCACAGATCGCAGCCCCCCAAGGATGGCGAGGTCTAATGAGTCTGCGGTGAGTACCCACTGTGCTGGGCCCCTCAGCAGCCCTCGAAAGGGGCGACAGTTTCACAGATCGCAGCCCCCCAGGGATGGCGAGGTCTAATTTGAGTCTGCGGTGGGTACCCACTGTGCTGGGCCCCCCAGCAGCCCTCGAAAGTGGCGACAGTTTCACAGGTCGCAGCCCCCCAGGGATGGCGAGGTCTCATTTGAGTCCGCCGTGTGTACCCGCTGTGCTGGGCCCAACAGCAGCCCTCGAAAGTGGCGACAGTTTCACAGACCGCAGCCCCCCAGCTGGCACGCAGCGACGAGCGAAGGCAGGGGGGGGGAAAGGGGCGGGGGGGGGCGGAAGGAAGGAAGGAAGGAGACGCGCGAGCAGTGCTCTATTCAAAACGAGAACCCAACGCAGGAGGGTTGGGAAAAAAGTCAGAGCACCAAATCACGACAGAACGTTCGCAGACGATGATCTCTTCTTTCCAGCAAGGGCTGCAGTGCGGGTCGCCCGACCCAGGGTTACTTCAGAATCTGCCGCGCACGGGGCTCCTCGAAGGCACCCGAAACACATAGATCCACGGTGCCTGACCTGCAAGGCCCCCGCCTGGCGGGGCACTCTCAAAAAGCGCGCGCAGAAGCTGACCCCCCGCAAGGGGGGGGTGGAGTGGCAGGGGGGGTCCGACGGGCGGGCGACAGCCTAAGGATAAAAAGTCAGAGCACCAAATCACGACATCAAGTTCACAGACGACGATGTCTTCATTCAGCAAGGGCGGCAGTGCGGGTCGTCCGGCCCAGAGTTGCTTCAGAAGCTGCCGTGCACGGGGCTCCTCGAAGGCCCCCGAAGAAACGCCCGCGGCGCCTGGCCTGGAAGGCCCCCACCTCGCGGGGCCCTCTCAAAAAGCACGCGCGCAGATGATCCCATAGAGGCCCATCGCCCCTTGCTGACCTGTGCAGGCCCTGGCTCCGCAGTGCCAGGGTGGGTGGGTCGCAGACTTACGTCGGCGCCCCTTTCTGCTCGGCTCAAGTGGTTTACCCCCCAAAGATGAGACTGCAGAGGCCAAGCGAAGTAAACCAAAATTACCTCGCACTCCTGCGTCTGCGCGAGGCTTTTAGCCCTGAAGCTGGCCGGCCAGCCTCAGGCCTCATAGCAATGCTCGAGCTGGCGCCCAGGTCGACTGCGTCATTGGAAAGCGCCCTCAGCGCCTGCGCCAGCGCTTCACGAAGGAGGCGTTGGCCGCCGTTGAGTGACTCAAGGAAGCCGCCATCGACATTCCAGGAGCTGCCCAACAAGCCTCTCCCCCTGAAATATGCTGAGGCTGTGGCTAGGCACGACGTCGAATGGGCGCATGCGTCTTGGTATATCGTTGAAGGGCCAAGACAGTATGCCATCTACCACGGCGTCGTGCATATTCCACATCTCCATGGTTAGCAACGTAGTGCGCTGCACCAGCATGGCGCATGCCATGTGGCGGTCCCATTTGGGCGGGGCTCAAACGTTCCAGCGCCATGTTCCACTGCCTGCGAAATATTTCCGCGGTGATAAGAAAAACGTGCTCGTCCGGGCTCGAGCCCTTGACCATTACTCACAAAATGCACTTCGTGATCGCAAACACAACATGCACTCCCTGGCCTGCGCCCGTCTTGACCTTTTCACCCCTTGAACGCTCTCCCAGGGTGAGTGCAACATTGCCGCAGTTTTCCAAAGAAATGCCCGACCGTCTGGTAATTGACCAGTCCTGTTCACGAAGCCACCCATCTAGTTGAACAGCTGCTGCACATGCTTCATGAGCTGCTCCCATGCGGCGCAACTGTAGTATAATCAATTCCGTGGCATGATAAGGGATGGGTTCGCCTTCGCCGATGGTCTGCTGTCTCTCCCATGCCTCTAGAGCCCTCGCCGATAATGGTGAGAAATTCAAATGGTCATCGAAAGTGTGCATGAACCCGTTCATGAAATATGAACCTCTTAGGGAACCCATTTCCATGCCGCAGCATGTCCGACAAATAAGCAGCTAACTCCCGATCTCTGTCATGCGCCGTTGCGAAAGGTCGAGCAGTGCGCTTGATACCCACCAACAACTCACGCACTGCCCGTTCATGCCCTCTGTTGGTCGCGTCGTCGACTGCATGC